GGTTTTATTTTGAAATCTAACTTGTTAGATATTAGGATTGTCACCCTTGCTTGTTTCTTGGGTCCATTTGATTGGAAAATCTTTTCCCAACCCTTAACTCTGAGGTAATGTCTGTCTTTGAGGCTGAGCTGTGTTTCTTGTATGCAGCAGCAGGATGGGTTCTGTCTTTGAATCCATTCTGTTAGCCTGTGTCTCTTTATGCGCTAGTTAAGACCATTAATATTGAGGGATATTAATGACCATTGATTGCTCATTCTTGTTCGTTTTGAAATAGTTGAGGGTGGTGGAATTATATGTGGAATTCCACGCCTTTTTTCTTTTGGCTGTTGGCAAGATAGGATTATCTATTGCCTATGTTTTTCTGGTTATAGTTAACTCCCCTGGGTTGGGGCTTTCCTTCCAGAATTTTCTTAGGGCAGGGTTAGTGGATATGTACTGTTTAAATCTGGTTTTGTCATGGAATATCTTGTTTTCTCCATCCATAGTGATTGAAATCTTTGCTGGGTATAGCAGTCTGGGCTGGCATCCGTGGTCTCTTAGTTTGGTAGAATGTCTATCCAGGACCTTCTGGCTTTCATAGTTTCCATGGAGAAGTCAGGAGTGATTCTGATAGGTTTGCCTTTGTATGTTACTTGACCTTTTTCTTTTGCTGCTCTTAATATTCTTTCTTTATTCTGTATGTTCAGGGTTTTTATTATGATGTGGCTAGGGGATTTCCTTTTATGGTCCACTCTATTTGGTGTTCTGTAGGCTTCTTGTACTTTCATTGGCATGTGTTTCTTTAAGTTGGGAAAGTTTTCTTCTATGATTTTGTTAAATATGTTTTCTGCCCCTTTGAGGTGGATTTCTTTACCTTTTTCTATACCTATTATTCTTAGGTTTGGTCTTTTCATGGTGTTCCATATTTTCTGGATATTTTGTGTTAGGGATTTGTTGGACTAAAGATTTTCTTTGGTCAATGAATCTATTTCCCTTAGTGTATCTTTAACACCTGAGATTCTGTCTTCCATCTCTTGTATTCTGTTGGTTATGCTTGTATCTGTAGTACCTGACCTTTTGCCCAGCTTTTCTATTTCCAGCATTCCTTCAGACAGTGGTTTTTTTATTGTCTCTATTTCAGCTTTCAACCCTTGTACTTTTTGAATTTTTTCTTGCAATTTTTTGCTTTGTCTTTTCCTCTCTTTCTTGCATTTGTTGAGGTTTTTGGTTTGTCTTTTCTTCTATTTCTTGCATTTTTGGATTTTTTCCTGCATTTCTTGTAATTTTTGGTTTGCTTTTCTTCCATGTCTTTAAGTGATTTTCTCATGTCTTTATTGAGGGCCTCTATCATTTTCATGAATTTGCTTTTAAGGTCTTTCTCATCTGTTTCTTCCTCAATGGACTGTTCAGGTCTTGTGAGTGTAGATTCTCTAGTTTCTGGTGGTATCATATTGGTTTTTCTTTTGGTGGGTGTGTTTTTGTATCGTCTCCTTCCCATAATTTCTTCCTGTGGGTGCAGAAGGAGTCTCTTCCTCCCCTGGAGGGTATGTGACTCCTTTCCAGTGGGTGGGAGCAGGTCCAATACCCTGGTTCTTTTCTCTTGCGTGGATGGAGACCATCCTAGTATTGGGACCTTAGCAAACTCTGGGTGGGCCGAACGCTCGCCTGTCCTGTCCAGTGGGTGGAGACTGGGACTTGGAAGCTGGCAGTCTCTGGGCAGGCTGAATCCCATTGGGCTAGGATCTGGATCTGCTGTGCACAGTCCTCAGGTCTCAGGTGGTTCTGCTCAGGCCACCGGAAAGCAAGCTGGAGACAGACCCACACTTACCTCACCTGTCCCGTGGGTGGAGACTGGGACTTGGAAGCTGGCAGTCTCTGGGTGGGCTGAATCCCATCGGGCTGGGATCCAGATCTCAAGAACTTAGAGTCACCTGGCGTTGGTGGCACACACCTTTAATCCCGGCACTCGGGAGGCAGAGGCAGGTGGATCTCTGTGAGTTTGAGGCCAGCCTGGTTTACAGAGCGAGTTCCAGGACAGCCTCCAAAACAATACAGAGAAACTCTGTCTCGAAAAACAAAACAAACAAACAACAAAAAAAAGAACTTAGAGTCTTTAAAGAAAGAAATTAAAGAAGATACCAGAAAATGGAAAGATCTCCCATACTCTGGATAGGTAGGATCAACATAGTAAAAATGGAAATCTTGCCAAAAGCAATCTACAGATTCAATGCAATCCCTATCATAATCCCACCACAATTCTTCACAGACCTTGAAGGAACAACTCTCAACTTTATATGGAAAAACAAAAGACCCAGGATAGCCCAAACATCCCTGTCGAATAAAGGAACTTCAGGAGGCATCACCATCCCTGACTTCAAGCTCTACTATAGAGCTATAGAAAACAGCTTGGTATTGGCACAAAAATAGACAGGTAGACCACTGGAATCAAATTGAAGACCCTAATATTAACCCACACACCTATGAACACCTGATCTTTGACAAAGAAGCTAAAGCTATACAGTGGAAAAAAGAAAGCATCTTCAACAAATGGTGCTGGCACAACTGGAGGCTGAAATGTAGAAGACTGTAGATAGATCCATGTCTATTGCCATGCACAAAACTTAAGTCCTAATGGATCAAAGATGTCTACATAAATCCAGCCACACTAAACCTCTTAGAAGAGAAAGTGGGAAGTACCCTTTTATGAATTGGTACTAGAGACTGCTTCCTGAACATAACACCAGTAGCACAGACACTATGATTGACAATTAATAAATGAGACCTCCTGAGACTGAGAAGCTTCTGTAAGACAAAGAACACAGTCAACATAACAAAATGGCAGCCTACAGAATGAGAAAAGATATTCATCAACCCCACAACTGACAGAGGGCTGATCTCCAAAATTTACAAAGAATTCAAGAAGCAAGTCTCCAAAACACCAAAGGATCCAATCAAAAAATGGGGTACAGGACTAAATAGAGAATTCTCAATAGAGGAGGCTAAAATGGTTGGGAGACACTTAAAGTGCTCAACATCCTTAGCCCTCAGGGAAATGTAAACCAAAACAACTGTGAGATACCATCTTACTCCTGTCAAAATGGCCAAAATCAAAAACACCAATGACAGTTTATACTGGAGAGGATGTGGAGAAAGGGGAACACTCCTCTACTCTTGGTGGTAGTGCCAACTGGTACAGGCACTTTGGAAATCAATATGGAGATTCCTCAGGAAATTGGAATTCATCCTACTACAAGATCCAGCTAAGGACATCTGTTCAACTATGTTCATAGCAGCATTATTTGTAATAGCCAGAACCTGTAAGCAACCCAGATGCCTCTCAACTGAAGAGTGGATGGAGAAAATGTGGTACATTTACACAATGGAGTACTACTCAGTGGAAATAAAAACAATGGAATCTTGAAACTCACAGGCAAATGGATGGCACTAGAAGAAACCATCCTGAGTGAGGTAATCCAGTCACAAAAAGACAAACATTGTATGTACTCACTCATATATGGATTTTAAACATGGAGCAGGGGATTGCCAACCTACAACTCCACTACCAGAGAGTCTGGGAAACACCATAAGAGAGATATGCATGGTACCCCAGAGAAGTTGAATGGTATGTGGTCTACTGAGGAGATTGGGAACATGGGGTGAGAGGAGGGGAGAGGAAGTTTGGAGAAAGAGGGGGAGAAGAGGAGAGGAGAGCATGGGGGAGCAGGAAGGTTGAGTCAGGGAGCCACTACAGGTTTTAGAAGAGAGCTGGCACTAGGGAGATTTTCAGAGATCTACAAGGATGACACCAACTGGCAATCCAAATAATAGTGGAGAGGCTACCTTAAATGCCCTTCCCTGATAGAGATTGATGACTACCTTATATGCCATCCTAGAGCCTTCATCCAGTGACTGATGGAAGCAGAGGCAGACACCCTCAGCTAAACACTGAACTGAAATGCTGGAATCCAGTTGCAGAGAGGGAGGAGTGATGAACAAAGGAGTCAAGACCTGGCTGGTGAAACCCACAGAGGCAGCTGACCTGAGCAAGTGGGAGCCCTTGGACCCCAGACTGGTGACTGAGAGGCCAGCACAGGACTGATCCAGACCTCCTGAACGTGGGTGTCAGTGAGGAGGTCTCGACAATCTATGGGGCCTTGGATAGTAGACCAGTATTTAGCCCTGGCCTATAAATGGACTTTGGGAGCCCATTCCACATAGAGGGTTGCTGTCTCAGGCTAGACACATAGGGGAGTGCCTAGGCCCTGCCTGGGATAATATGACAGATTTTGAAGATTCCCCATGGAAGGCCTCACTCTCCCTGGGGAGTTGAGGGGGAATGAGGCTGGAGGTGGAGAGTGGGGGAGGAGGGTAGTGTGAGAGAGCTGGGATTGACATGTCAAGCAAGCTTGTTTCTAATTTAAATAAAATATAAAAACAGAAAAAAACTTCAAAAGTATTGGAAAAATCCAGTCACAGTGAATGTTTGTGAGTTAACTTATGTGTGATATGGGTTAGAATCCATTGTGTGCCTGGCCAAGACACCCACATCTAGGAAGAGGAAAGGGATTAGGCCTAAAAATGCAAAAGGAGAAAGCCTGTCACCACAGAACCCAGGATCCTGAGAGGGATGGTGAGTTACTGGCCAGCCTGCTCCACACAACAGCAACCTGCCTCAGAGAAAGAGGAAAGTCCCTGCCATTTATGTCAATATGGGTCAAATGGGAGGGCGATACGCTGAGCAAAGGAAACCACAAGAGGAGGAAAATATTGCACAGAGGAACCCACAGCAAGATTCTAAAATAATAGGAAGATGTTGGTCTAGGATGGAAATGAATCAGTTTGTAGTGAGAAGTCAGAGATCTACTGTACACAGTGACTGTGGTGGATTAATGTGACTCACAGTGGTTCTCATCACCTGGGAGAAATTGTATGATGACATCATGTATCATGAAGTGGTGGCACTTAGGGCTTAAATATACAATAAGATTTACTTCCAAAGGAAAATAATCTTTGTATCCAGATACAGATGCTTTTCCTGGGTTCCTGTGTGTGACACTCTTGGTAAGACTTCTGTAGACACAACGTGGTACCCAGGTCTCCCTGCACATCCTGACTGACTGATCTTCATCCAGACACACAATGCACAAAATCAGTAACTCGGCTTTCAAAATCTGGGTCCTCTCAAAATGGTCCAGTTCTGCAGGTAATGGTTGACGTCGCTGCTGTAGGTGGTGCAAACAGATAGAGCCCACAAAGTGTTCTGTATGTCTGGCTCTTGCCGCTGGCAGTCTTTCTGAGTTTTCTTTCTGGGAAAGTGGTGTCCGTGCCTAGATGACCAAAGGGACAGTAAGACCAGCTGAGTCCCCATGCCCCATGTACACAGCAATAGAGGTGGTTGATGGAGGGGGCTTGAGAAGCACCTTCCTCCTCCTGCCAGGACAGGAATTACCCTCAGTGAGGAAGTTCTCCAAGCCACCTCAGACAGTGCTCTCCCATGACAAGGGTTCGGGGTAAGGTGCTGGGTGCTCCCAGGATCAGAACACAGTTTTCTTATTTTGTTCTTCTCAGTCCATCCACTTGTGAGTCTCCGGCTCCAGCTCTACTTCTCTGTCAGTCAGCAGGAGCCTCTTCCATCAGGGAGGCCGGAATAAGGAGGGGTTTGGTAAGAACTACAGAGTTCAGTGATGCATCGCCCAGTAGCTGACCACGTGTTTCAGATGGCCTGAGCCAGGAGGCATCACCTGTGTGCTCCTCTTCCACGCAGGGTGTCTGTGATCAGAAAGGTGCCCCCTTTTCAGACCACTGCATTTGAGGCTGGTCTCAGGCCTGGTTCCATGTTGAGTGACATTCCTGGTGGTTTTCTGTGGTTTTCACAGTACGGGGCTTTGGAATGCTCCCATATTGGCATCAGAAGCATCTGGCCTTTCCCAGCCTGCATTGGAGATAACAATGCAGCAGCAGCAGCAGTAGCAGTAGCAGCAGCAACAGCAGCAGCAGAGGCAGAGATGGCAAGGACCTGTGCATGCCAGGTGTTCACTTTGTGGTAAAACTGTTGAGAAAAAGCCAAATAGTTTGCACTAGAGAGTGGGGTCAGGAGGTGGAGGAATCCAGTTTCTCTATAACTACATTTGAGGGTCTCTGGGTCTTTCTGCTTGGTGGGAATGTTACAAGTCACCGTGGGCTTCCCAGAGTAAAGCCCACACTGTCAGATCATGGGATCTCATGGGTTTTCCCATCAACATTTCTCTGCCCCCCCTGCAATACTTGTTACTGACTCCTTCTCTGGACTACAGCGGCAAACACTTGAGACCTCACCTTGGGTCTTCTCAAAGGACACGCAGTAGGTCAGACTCACCTTGCACATGGCTGGATGCTCTGGGGCAAAATGGAGAACAAGATGCATAATACTGGCATCACATAGCTCCTAGGAAGCATAGAGCAGGATGATTAATGTTTCAGGTGGGGGTGAAGTCAAGAGCAAGCTGATTTGGAGGGACAGCTAGGTATTTACAGAAGGGGAAGTCACACAAAATGTGAAATTACCTTGTTTGGAATGTGAATCCTCTCCGTTTCAAGCAAACTTCTCTAGCATCAACTAAGCCCAAGGCAGATTAGGAGGGGAGAGAGAGACAGACAGACAGAGACAGGGAGAGTATTTCCAGCCAGATATAAAGAGTACAGATCAGACAACTCAAGTTTGAAACAATGTGTACAACCAGACACTAGAGCTGGGGTGATTTGTGAAGTCTCCGGATCTCTCTCAGCATGACTGTGTAGTAGTCAGGATGCTGTTGATTGAGGCCTGAACCAGAGCTGTGGGGACTGAGCTGTCCCTGTCCACTCTGTCTTCACTTTCGGACTCCAGATGGGTTCTCCTTGCTGATTTTCAGTCTTCTGTTGCTTGCTCTGATCTGGTCGGCAACGTATCTCCTGGACATACCCACTAGGTCAGGTACTCTGGGGTCCTGTTTCCAGCACCACTGTCTCCATGGCTCATGGCTACACCTGGAGACAGGTAGCGTAGGTGACATTCTCACTGTGCATGGACGGTTCTCTGAAGTCTGGTGTTTCTTCTCCATTTCCTTGGGAATCACCAGCACTCTGTGGATCTCCCCTCCCAGGGTTTCTGAGTCCTGCTCAGAGCAATGCACTGGGGCAGGACTATTCTGGGAACACTGCCCAGCACAGAGATCCCTATGGGGGAAAGGCAGAAGGACCATTAGCTCAGACCTTATGTAAAGGGAAGCCTTACCACCAGCCTGATTCCAGAGCCGCATCAGTCCCAAATAACACACAGGAGGCTATATTAATTATGAAGCTATTGGCCTTGCTTGTTTCTTCCTGGCTAGCTCTGACTTAAGTAATTACCCCATAACTGTTAATCTAAGTATTTCTCTTACCGGAGAACTTTCCGAGCTTCCTAGCCCATGTCGTTACTTCTTGACTTCCTGTGTTTCTCCTTCCCAGAGTCCTCCTGGACTCCTAGTCCCACCCATCTTGGTTCCCTATTGGCCAACAGTGCTTTATTGACATATACACAGGACTTCCCCCATCAACCTTCTTTCCAGAATTTTCCCTCAGTCCTTAGGGAAAAACAATGCTTTGCCACTAGTTTCAGCCTGTGATAAGGACACAGCTTCCCGATGGCACACAGCCATCTCAACTTCCTACCTGGCTCTCTCCTGCACCCCCCTGCATCCTCAGCACACTGCTCCCCACTCTCTGGTGTCAGCCTCCAGGGAACACAGTGCCTCCAACAGCACTTGAAATAGACACAAGAAAGGGGCCTCTTAGTAGAAATACACAGGACTTCTGCTTGTCTGTGCTGGCCCTGTGCTGGAATGGGCCCTCAATCTGATTCCTCCTGAGTGCCTGCCCCATTGCTCTCTTCACCAACCCTCCTCCCACATGCTTGCCCAGCCTCAAGCTACTGTCCTCTGCTGTCTGTCTACATGTAGGTCAAGTTATGAGGACTCCTAGTAAGAGGGAGGGTAGGATGGAATTTTCCCTCTGGGATGACAGACACAGTGTTACCAACCCACTAAATGTGTATGCTAAGACTATGTTAAGGGAAGAGGAATGGACTGGAGAAGTGTCTCACTGCTGTCCCACCTACTTCTTTTAGCCTGTATCTCTGTCTCCATTACCCTCCTCATTGGCTGCCATGATTTTGATCTTGCCCAAGTGTTGTCTCTTTGTCATTTTGGGGGCAGCAACACAAGCTTCGTAAGGCTTGAGAAATCCTCTTCTTCAGGCTTTTCCCGCTCCGCTGTCTCCGTGGGACTCTGGGCACACCCTGGCACCGCCCTCGGAGGTGCTTCTGAGGGTCTCTTTCCCTGGATGATGCACTGCTGTCTTGTAAAGATTCCCTGTCTGAGCTCTCTCCCTGGGCTTGCTCACTGGGAAAGGAGCTCCTGGACGTGAACTCCTGGGAGGATGCGCTCGTGTCCGTGTCTATCCTCTTAGAGTCAGTGCTCACATCCTGGGTGCTATCATAGTTTGAGAATTTGGAGGACATGGACATTGAGGACGTTATTGTTGATGAAGATGTGAACTCTGTGGTACTCTCAATCTCTATGTATGTCGCCATTTTGAGATGAGACATAGGTTCACGCTGGGGGGAGTTTTTTTCCCGAAGAGTCGTCTTGAGAGAGGAAAGGGTGTGAGGCTCGCTGTGTGTCTTACATCCTTTCCTCCCATCTTCGGGCGGTTCAGGGAGAGAGGACAAAGTGGAGGTAGGAAGGCTAGGGGCACTGGACCCACTCCTTAGAGGCAGAGGAAGGTTGGGAGGTTTTTCAGGTGCCATTGTACCATCCTGCTCTCCTTCGTGGTCAATTCTACACTGCCTTTGCTTCTTTTGAAGAATTAAATAGGTTGCCATGGCACGAGTAAATTCTTTTTGATTCAAGGCATCTTTGATATCTTGAATTTTGTATCCCATTGAAAACATCTGGAAGGCAAGGTTGGGGTCTGGTTCTCTTGGGATTTCTGTCAAGGAAATCAATGAGTCTTCCTCATGGCGCAGCCATGGGTGTGCCGTGACTTCCCCTATGAGGGGCCTCTGTGTGGGGTCCACTGTCATTAATCGGTTCAGTATGTCTTGAAGCTCTGGGGAGAGGTGAGGCGGTATCCAACAGTTTCTGGATAGAATCTGTGACTTTATATCAGCGTGCTCGGTCTCTCTGAAGGGGAGGGATCCGGTCACCAGATGGTAGAGAACCACTCCAAGGCTCCAGATATCAGTGGGAAGCCCTTCATATTCTGTGGGACCGAACACCTCAGGGGCACAATATTCAGCTGTGCCCCAGAAGCCCTTGACCTTTTCCCCAGAGGCGAATCTTTTTCCCAGACCAAAGTCACTGAGTTTGATGTGCCCCTCCGAATCCAGTAGGATGTTCTCAAGCTTGATGTCTCTGTGGGCAATGTTGTGACTGTGGATATATTTGACGGCCGAAGCCAGTTCCCGGAATAGAGTACGCGCCTCCTCCTCATCTAGATGTCCACACTGAGTGACACGTTTCAGCAGGGGTCCCCCGGAGGCGCATTCCATCACCAGGTATGTTTTCTGCTTGGTCTCGATGACCTGCAGCAGCTGCACTATGTGAGGGTGCTGTATAGTTTTCAGGAGCTTGACCTCACAGCTGATCAGGGGTTCTGTACTCGTGCCCTTTTTCAGTATTTTGATGGCGACCAGGGTCTGGGTCACAAGGTGGAGAGCCACTTTGACTTTTCCCAAGGATCCTTCACCTAGGGTGCCCATGACATAATAATCCTTGGCCAGGGTGTGTCCTTCAAAGGAACTGGTTGTGAGCTTTCTTGTCATCGTCATTGTGCCTTGCTTCTCCCAGTAGAAGTGACCAGTGGCAACAACAAATAAAGATGGCAGAGAAAAGAAATTAAATCCCTTCTAGTAACTCTTTTCATCACTACAAATTCTAAGATTAGCCATAAGAGACACCCCCAAGAAACAGGCTATGCCTCATGGGCACAGGAAAACAAGAACACAACAAGGACAAACACAGCGGATGGAAAGAATGAAGGATCAGAGCAGCAAGGAAAGAAAAGGAAAGAGAAAAACAAAAAAGTCAGGAGAAGGAGGATTCCCATTTCAAAGGGCAAAACATTGATTCTCTTGAATAAGGAACCCATCAGGAGGGGAAGGCCCCGAGTTAAAGGCCACAGCTGAGCATCAAGATAAGTTTACCCAGGAATAGGTGGGATGTCACATGCCCCAACTGAAAAACTGAAAGTATACAAACAGGATTAGGGGCAAGAATCACACAGTGCCTATGAAGAAGATTGAAAATTTGTCATTTTCTGGAAATGGAGGTAATTTAAGGCTACTGTGTTGCATGTAATAACCTAGCCCAACACAGACAAATATCACAAGTTTTCCCCATTATGTTCTTCAGGATCTGGGTGGTTTGGAGATGGGCTGAAAGGGGCACTGTGAGGCATCTGGATGATAATAGGAGTGATGGGTTAGGAGTAGCAGAATGTGGCTTACACAATCAAAGTGTGTGTGTGCAAAATGTTAGTGAGGTAGGTGCCTTTGTGCAATTAGTACATACGAAGGTCAAATTGAAAAGAAGTGAGTCATAATTTTAGAATGACAAAGGAAAATAAGTTAGGGAAAGAAAAATGGTGGCACAGGTCTTTAATCTCAGCACTCAAGACTCAGAGGCAGGCCAATCTCCAAATGGGATGCCAACTTGGTCTACAGAGTGAGTTCCAGAATGGCCAGGGCTAGAGAGAAAACCCAGTGTCTAAAAACCAAAAAAAAAATCAAGAAAATAAATAAACAAACAAAAATGAATGTGTATGATTGTTAAGTCATGAAGAAAGATAAAATAAGACAAAGGCTGAAAGCAAAACACCCAAATGTATAAGTACACATAAATAAAAACCCAAACCTCTGAGCCTGTGCAAACGAACAGCAGGAAAGCACTATGTTAGAGTGTGGCAGATGGTGGATGTGGAAGTCCAAGCAATCATCAACATTCAAATCCAATCCAACCACCAACCACCAACCAAGTCCAACCAACCATCAACCTCCAAGTCCCACAGATCACCACCAAACGGCTCTGCAAGAAGGATCCAAACCAGCTCCAGACAGTGCCCTATAGGGACAGCTGGCTGTCATTCCTCACAATGACTCCTTGTGAGATCAGAGCATCAGTGGACCAATCACAGCTGGCACAACCCTCAGCAGCTTTTTTCACATTTTGGTCTCACACTTGGGTCTATCCCTATCTGTCACTTTTCATTTCACTGAGACCAATGCCCTGACAGTAAACTCCTTAGGGGAGGAAGGGCTTTATTTAGGCTCGTGCTATGAGGGGGTTCTGGAAGTACTGGGGTTTCTCTTCTTGGGCTTTTAGTCTAAGGAATAAAAGAATTTAGTAAGACTTGAAAGAAGCTCCTACACGACTTTATTTCAGTGTGAGAGACAGACAGAGAAGTGGAAGCAAGCAAGAAGATGTTGAAGAGGATGGGAGAAAGCCATCCCTGAAGCAGTGGAGTCTAGCAAGCCAGCCATGTGGAGGAACTGGGTAGAGAGGCTTTGGAGAATGTTCCAGAGTGTGCAGGAATACATCTCAGAGAGCTGCGACTGGTGCTACAAAAAAAACCCCCAGAATTAGAAGGGGGGAATATTCTTCTGGGAGAAGACTGAAAATCTGAGCAGGCTCTGTGGTGCTACATGGGGAAAGCTGCAAGCATCAGTTTTGAGGAGGGTCTTTTGGAAGCATGACTCCCAGTAGGGACACAATTATTCCTCCCATCTTCTCATAGCATGGCTTCAGCTGAGCCACCTCTCATGGGTGATAATCTAGCATTTTCTACAGGCCCAGGATGCATTCACTTTTATTAAAAGGATGGGAGAATAGGATGTAACATTCTGAGCACTACTAATGACAGGACTCAGCAGAGCCAGAGTGAGAACAGTCTTTGGACTAGGGGGAAGTATCTTTCTCCTAATGGGCCACAACAAAGCCCAGATACCTACACTTTTACATAGTGTAGAGCTGAGTTTTATACTTTTCATGTTTCCAGGAAATAGGAGGTGGCATCCATAATTGACAATGGGGAGTAAGTCAAGGTTGTTAAAGCAAATGATGACCATAGCAGGGTTCCAGGAGGTGGCTGGCCACTCAGCTTTGGCAGTCGCCTCCTCTTATAAGGTG